CCACCGTAGCCCCCTCGCTTCGGCCAGCAGCGCCAACCGCCTGCCTGAAGGAGGGCGCGGAGCGCGGAGCGCGGAGGCACCGGAGCCCGTGCCCGCCGGCCCCGCCGACCGAATCTAGCCGGGAGAGCCCCTGCCGGGCCCCACACAGCTCCGCAACAGTCTGGGAGCTGTCCCTTCAGCACCGCACCCGGAGCGGGAGCCTGAGTCCGAGCGCAGCCCAGCGGAACCCCAGCTGGAGCCGGAGCGCACCGAGCGCGGCGCTCCACGGCGGCAGCCGCACCGAGCAGCGTTCCGGCGCCCCTGTCCGGGGGGCCCTCCATCTCCTCCAAGAGGCGGGGAGAAGGAGCGAGCAGGGAGGGCGGCCGGGCAGGCGCGCCCGCCGCCGGGGGGAGCAGGCAGCTAGGCAAGGAAAGAAGGAGGGGGCCCGAGCCCGCCCTGCGCCCCGAGCTGCAGCCTCGCCACGCAAGGAAGGAAGGCAGCGGGCATCCATCTCCCCCGCGTCAAGAGCGCGCTGAGGCGACCACCGCACAACAGAGCGCGAATTTCCCGGCCCCCTCTCCACCCTCCTCCTTCCGGGGGTTGGTCTATCTGTCTGGTCCTGGGAGCAGCTGACCTTACCCCCAAAAGCTTTGTNTTCCCTTCTTCTATCTGCCTGTCATCCATCCTCCTACCTATCCATCCATCCATCATCTATTAGTCATGGCCCCCCTCCCTCCCTCCTCCTTCCCTCTCTCCCGCCCTTCTTTCCTCCTCTGCCTCCTCCGCAGCCAGACCAGCTCCCTCCTACATCTGGCGCCTAGAGACCCTTGGGATCCCGCGCACACTCACTGCCCTGGACCGGCACCCGACAGAAATCGCCCTGAGGGGCTTGGGTCGCTCTTGGGATTGCCAGAGCCGCTGTCCTCTGTCCCCCCCGACGGCTGGGGGGAGGGGGGAGGAGGCCGCGCGCCCCCCTCCCCGGCGCCAACACCCCCTGGCGGCCGCTCCCATGGGTGTCCCTGGGCCGCGCCATGCCTAAGGGGGCGCCGCGATGGGCCAAGGGGACGAGAGCGAGCGCATCGTGATCAACGTGGGCGGCACGCGCCACCAGACGTACCGCTCGACGCTGCGCACGCTGCCCGGCACGCGGCTCGCCTGGCTGGCGGAGCCCGACGCCCACAGCCACTTCGACTATGACCCCCGCGCCGACGAGTTCTTTTTCGACCGCCACCCCGGCGTCTTCGCGCACATTCTGAACTACTACCGCACAGGCAAGCTGCACTGCCCGGCCGACGTGTGCGGGCCGCTCTACGAGGAGGAGCTGGCCTTCTGGGGCATTGACGAGACCGACGTGGAGCCCTGCTGCTGGATGACTTACCGCCAGCACCGGGACGCCGAGGAGGCGCTGGACAGCTTCGGCGGTGCGCCCCTGGACAACAGCGCCGACGACGGGGACGCCGACGGCCCTGGAGACTCGGGCGACGGCGAGGACGAGCTGGAGATGACCAAGCGCCTGGCGCTCAGTGACTCCCCCGATGGACGGACGGGCGGCTTCTGGCGCCGCTGGCAGCCCCGCATCTGGGCGCTCTTCGAGGACCCCTACTCCTCCCGCTATGCCAGGGTAAGCGACAAGTCGGCCGTCAGGGAAGAGGGGGAGGGGTGGGGCGGATGCGAGAACTGGCACCTAGGGAGTCAGATGAAAGGGGGTGCGTGGTGTGTGTGTGTGTGTGTGTGTGTGTGTGTGTGTGTGTGTAAGAGAGAGGCTGTGATTTTTTCAAGGGTGACTAGTTTTTGTGTATGTAAGGTCTGTTTGTATTTCCAGATTTAATATGTATGAGCGAGTATGAATGGGTATGTTTGTGTGTGTGAGTAGATTGTGTGTGCATATTTATGTAACTGTGGTGGTGTATATTTGGGCGGGTAAAGAATGTAGTGAGAATGAGTGAGCATGTGCATATGTTTGAGTGTGTAGGAGCGCCTGTGCATGCATGTTTGTGTCTTTGCAGGTGTGCACTGTGAAGGTCTGATTTGCCCTTTGGATTCTGGTGTGGGGAGGGAAGCTGGGCACCCTTCCTCCTTCCCAGGTAAGGGCATCTGGAGCCAGCCAAGGCCCACAGACAAGAGCCTGAGGCCTGGGTCTGCTGCTTGAGATGGGCTCCCCCCCCCCTCCAGGGAGCAGCCTCCGGCCATTCTGAGGAGGTGGTCCAGGGGGATCTTTATGGCTAATTACTAGCTTGGTAGTTGTGTAGGGCTCAGCTATGGGGAGGTAGCTGTGATTCTTCTGAAACCTGCTCCTGGGAACAGAGCCTGTCCTTCTTCCTCGTCAAAAGGGCAGGGTATTGGAGGGGGCCACTGGGTTTGGACCTGTCAGGAGCAGAGAGGGGGTCAAAGGGGGAACTTACAGGGAGAAAGTCCGTGAGAGGTGGGTGTGTCTTCACCCGCCACTCCCCTTTCCTGACAGCAGTTTATTACAGGGGAGGAAGGGCACCCTGTTCCTGACCTTGGCCCTTCAGGTGGCCTCTCTGGATCAGTTTCCTCATCTGTAAAATAGGAGAGGGAGTTCTGGTGAATTCTAAGGGTTTTTGCTACTTAACTAAGCCCAAAACTGGGCAGCCAGTAGCAGCTTAGTACTACTTGCTGGTAGCAGCCACCTACTTTGGAAGAGATACCCCTTGCTTTCACTGAATTCTGTCCTAGAGGCCTAAATGGAGCCTAAGGCATGAAGGAGAGGGTCACAGTTAGTAATTTAGAGCAGAGCCCCACCCTCATCCATAGCTGCCACCCCCCACCCCCTACTGGGCTAACCTCTGCCTCTGCCCACTGTCCTTTACTGCTCCACAAGCCTTCCCTCCTGCCCACTAGAACCTGGGGGCAAAGATGGGGCAGGAGTGTCTGCCGAGCTGCTGAGGATCAGTGTGGGAAGGGGACTTGGGGGCATTGAGGTGTCCACAGGCGGAAAAAAGCTGTGTTTAGGCGCAGGCCTGGTAGATTTGTGACTGAGATAAAACACTCAGTGTTTCAGCATCCTTTAAGGAGGGGGCAGCAGGTCAAAGTGTTATACATTAAGTCTTAGAATAGGTGTGTATGGGGGTGAGGTTACTAGGGAGAGAGCCAAACTCCCGCTTTTGCCACTGAGGACCCTGCCCAAGGTCACCCAGGGAGCTAGAGACTAAGCAGGACTAGAACCAGGTCTCCTGGGACCTCATCCTCCTCAGAGTTGGCCACCTTGGGCTCAGCTTCAGGGCTCTGACGTATGTCTCTGAGTTTCAGAATAGGCAGGGGTCATTTGAGGCAGGTTCGAGTCCCTTCCCCTGTCCATCTTCTCCCACTGAACATTCCTAGTCTGTAGGGTGGCCATCACCCAATGCAGTTAAATCGGCTGGCTAGGGTGGTTTGGAGTCTCGTTGGCGTACAAAACCTTATAGAAAAGTCCTGATTCTATCAAGTGTCCATTGAAGAACAGACTCGGAGGGAAAAGCTGGGCAGTAGAGGGGGATGGAGGTAAGTTAGAAGGTGCCCCCACACGAGTCTATCAATGCTACCTTCTTTCCCCAGGAGCCACACAGAGTCATTTCAACTTCCTTGGGTGACAGATGAGGACACTGGGGCCCACAGGGGGAGGGACCTGCCCAAGGGCACACAGAACTGAGGGCAGAGCCTGGATTAGAACCCAGACTTCCTGCTGCCCTCTGGCAGGCCTAGCTGCATTGCGCTGCCTCTCTGCGGCTCATCTGCGCAGGGACCAGCCGGCTGCCCTCCCTCCCCCCCTCCATCTTTGCTCAGCCACTGCTGCTGTCACCTTTGTTTACCCCTCCCCCACAGGGGCCCCAGGCCTCCTCAGATTGGTGGGATTTAAATTTTTCTTGTAGATTCTAGACCAGAATCCTGTATGTGTGTAACATTTTGTGTGTGTGTGTGTGTGAAAGAAAAGCTGCATGTGTGAGAGAATTTGTGTGAGAGAGATTCTATGTGGCTGTGAGAGACTTTTCATGTGTGTGAGAAAGACTGTGGGAGAATAAAAATATGTGTGAGACTCGGGTGTGGTGGTGCGTGTGTGGTGAAACTGGCTGTGACATCCTGCGTCTCTATCAGGGAAATTCTGTGTGAGTGTGAGAGACAGATTGTGTGTGTTTTGAGAGATGGACTTCGTGTGTGAGAGTGAGACTGCGTGGGGGAAAGTGTGTATGAGGAAAAGAGACTATATGTGTAAGAGAGATGCTGCATGTGTGTGTATGGGGATATGTGCATGTGTGTATGTATGTGAGAGATTCTTGGGAGAGGTGTGAAAGACTTGAGGTCAGTGGGAGTGCATTGGTGTGTGAGGCTGTACGTGTGTGTGCATGTGTGTATGTGTAAGGCTGTGTGGGGAGTGGGGAACGCTATGTATGATATAGACTGTGTGTGAAAAACTGTGTCAGTGTTGCTTTGTGTGCTTGTATGTGAGATGTGAGAGACCCTGTGTTGCCTGGGCCTGAGTGAGCCTTGAGGAAGATGAAACTCCAGACCATCTTCGTGCCTGCTGCCTCGACCTCCTGGGACCTCTGGGCTGCCTTAGTGAGCGGCTCTGCTTCTCATTTCCCGTCCTCAATAGAAATACTCTGTAGCCCTGGCCAGCTGTCGATGCGTGGACGGGTGATGAGGCCACCTCATCCAGGCCTTAGTGTTGGCTCTGGAATATAGAGGCTACTTAGCGGGGGTGGGAGGTCACATCTGAGCTCTTGGGTGACAGTGCTAGCTGGAGCAACTGGTTCCCTGGCCTTTCTCTCCTGTGGTTTTCTGGGCACCCAGGCTGAGGGGGTGAGGAGGGGAGCTGGGACACGATGAGCCCAGCTTGTATTCTGGGGTGATAGGTTGTGCACCAGGCACACACAAGCAAAGGATGATGACACTGCGTGGTAAGGGCTGTGAAGGGGCTTCCTGGGACTGTGAGAGTAAGAACTGTCCCAGAGCAGGTGATGCTGGGGGAAGCTTTGAGGGAAAGTAGGAATTAGCCACGCAGATGGCAGGGAACAGCAGTCCTAGCAGGCAAAGCTGTGGGAGGTGTGGGAGCAGGCAGGACTGTGTTGGGGTGGCCTGGGGCAGCCATGACTTGAAACCTGCCCTCCTCTCTTCCTTGGGGGCCGCCGGTACAGGTCTGAGGCCCTTGGCTTTTATCTATGAATTGCATGTTGTCATCAGGAACATTGTTCTGTGTCAGGTCAGAGCCATCGGTGGTCCCTGTGCTAGAAAGTATTGTCGTGTGTGTGTGTGTGTGTGTGTGTGTTGACATGTGTCCCCCAGAGTCACTTGTCCTTCCAAAATGACAAGCAAGTGCCAGTGGAAGCCCCACCTCCATCTACCCCACTGCCCACCCCTCCTCCAACTCCAGGTCTTTGTCGCTCTGTCTTGTCGCCACCTCCATGGGATCTGATGTAGTCTGACGCCTCCTCCACCTTCTGGGAAGGAAATTCACCTGGTGGCTGGGATGAAGAGCCCAGCCAGAGACTTCTGTTTCTCCCTTGGATCCCAGCTGACACGGGGCTCTTGGAGCCTTGGCTTGGCATGCAGAGGGATTGGGGACAGAGCTGCTACCAGGGCCTTCCTAGGCAGCTTGCCCCCTCACCTCATAGCCCACTTCCCCAGGTCAGGAGACCCATGAGCAGTGGCGAAGGGGCTGGGTGCGTTCCCTTCCCAGCCACCCCAAGGGCCCCCTGCTCAGTGTATCCTCCATTCAGTATCCTTCTCTTTCCCATGATGCTCTTACAGGTGTCCTTGTGTCTTTGAGTGGTACCTCCAACCTCCTCCCTCATCGCCCCTCCTAGTAAAGAAGGGCTCAAACCCAGCATCTCCTACTCTCTGCCTCTCAGCCTCTTCACCTCTAAAATGGGCATAATGCTAGAGCTCACCTCAGGGCTGATGGGAAGATTAACTGAGGTAATATGTGGAGAGCCCCAAGGCATGCCGTAAGTGCTTGATAAATACTGACTGCTGTTATTACTCCTATTGGGTGTATTATCATTTTACTTCATGACTCTCTAGACTCCATCCTTTGCCTTCTGTCTCCATGTCCATCCTCCAGCTTCAAGCCACCACTGTTTCCTGCAGGCCAACTTCTCCAACAGCTCCCTTACTGCTCTCCCACCTCCAGTACCTCCAGTTCATTCTCCACTTCACGGAGGTCTCTTCAACTCACAAATCTGACAGCTCACCTTCTTGCCTGCTTAACACCCTTCAGTGCCTCCCCAGCCTGCCTCTCCAGTCTCTGACCTGGCTTTCCTCATCACTCACTGAGCTCCAGCCACCCTGGCCTCATTTCAGTTTTTTGCATGTGCCAGGTCTGCCTGCCTCAGGGCCTTTGCATATGCTATTCCTTCTGGAGCACTCTTTCCTCCTAGTTTGCCCCTCTTCATCCTCCACGCCCTGCTTCAAACATCACTTCCTTGGTGATGAGTGATGCCTTCTCAGACTCCACAGGCCAGGTCAGGATTCAGAACCAGAATCCTTCCCTTCAGAGAAGCTCTCTGATTTGTAGTAAAATGTTTGTTAGCAGCCTTGCTTGATTCAGGTTTGTCTCCCACTCCAGATGCTAAGCTTCTTATATAAGCAATATAATAGAAGCTATTATTATGGCAGATGAGGAAG